CTGGAGGGAGGGGGTGGGTCGGGTGAGGGTGGGATAAAAGAATTAAAGTTTGAAAAGTATTTTTTTAAAACAAGCGTTAAATTTACTTTTTCATCAAATTTTTTTTTTGATTTTTTCAACAAAAAAGTTGTAATTTGAAATTGGTGGAAAGTTATGGAAAGTGTTTTCCTTGATTTTTGAAGGGAAGTCATTTTCCTTGAATTTGAGGAAAATGAGTTGATTTGGAAAACATTTTCCAAAATACTTAACCCAACCAAACATGAGAAAATTGGAAAACATTTTTCGGAAAATGTTTTCCTTCATACCAAACACACCCTTAGTGTGTGTCAAATTATACGAAGATGCTCGCCATTATTTTAGTAGCCAATGATAACAGCGCTAAGTCAGTCAATATGCTTACAGATATTTAAACACACTTTTGAATTACAATTGGCCAAATTGTTTGTTCTCCAAACTTAATAAAGTTTTTTTAAAAAAAGTTGTATGTTTAACTTGTTAGTATAGTTGAACTAGTATCTATAAATGCACGTCAAAATTGCAAGGAAAAATAAGACACAATGGGAAGACTGAATGGGGGTACAAATGCGGGTAAACAACACTTCAGCCATGACCACATCTTGAAACTAATTGCCAATCCAACTGAAACTCTCACTTGCAATGCTTGTGAGCAACCAAACAATACTAACAAGCCTTTCTACGGCTGCAACACCTGCCAATATTTCCTCCATGAAAACTGCTTTAATGCTCCGCGTTTTCTCAATCACTCGTGTCATCCTTCCCACCCCTTGACCCTTCACCATCCGCCTTACGCGGGTGGTTACTATATTTGCAATGCTTGTGGGTCTGATGGAAATGGATTTTGCTATAACTGTGCTGCTTGTGATTTTGATATTCACTTGCAATGTGCATCCTGTCCTAGCTCCATACTTGTTGATAAGCACACGCATCAATTGGAGCTCCACTTCGGTTCTCCTGACGAAGACAAGGATAGCAAATATGTTTGCGATATCTGCTTTGTAACGATGAGCAATGACAATTGGTTGTACTATTGCGCTGGCTGTGATTTTGCGTCACACTTGTACTGTGCGATAACTAGTCCTGAAGTCGGTGTTTTCCCCAAACAGCAACATCCAAATCCAAATCCAAATCCAAATTCAAGTCAGAATTCCAATGTGAATGAAGTGGTGGATATGATAAATTCAGTGAATGATGATCATGACAGGCTCATAGCAGCGCAAATTGCAGCTCAGATTGACGCACAATCAAGACGCGCTATGCTGGACTTATTCTAGGCCATCACGAACATACAGTTACACATATAACTCTATCGTGGTTATCTAATGCATCCGCTTTGGCCTTGTTCAGTTTTTATTGCAAAATAAATACTTTATTGTCGTTATCATGTTATTTCTCTTTCAAATTTGTATCTTTGATCGATCCATGATCATCAAGTTTCTCCATTTTCCTTTTGGTTTCTATGTTTATCTATTACAAACTAGTGTTTCATTTTTCTTTTTTTGTGTTCTCTTTTCTTGGATCGAAAATTAATGCCTTTGGCAGAATGATAACCATATCAGTCCTCTCTTAGTAAAAACTTACTTTCTATTTGTGAGAAGGGATTAGTACTTTAATTCGAAGTTGATTTCTTGGATGGACACCCAATTCACAATTTTAATCTTTGTTGAAGAAAATTGAATTAGAGAAGAAATATAATTTTATGAGATAATAATTCAGTATAAATTAGGTGATATTCAGACATATAAGGATGAGAATCAAACAGACATGATTATTCGCTTGATCGACAAGATAATTAGTACTGCCTCTGTCATTTTATGTGTCATTCTTTCTTTTGTAATCTATTTCAAAAAGAATGTTATATTAGTATAATAAGTAACAATTTAACTTTAAAAATTCTCTTTTATTTTAGTGAAATGATTTGTAATCACACAAGTATCGAAGAAATGTTTTAGATCACAAATTTCAAAAGTTATTTTTTTTAAACACCATGTCAAATCAAATGGTGCCAGTATGCCACATTTTTTAAAAAAAGAAAATTGTGGGTAGGGGTAAGGGAAATGGGGAGAGAATTACAATATGGGGAATCAAACCTCATCAACAAGGGGAGAATTTAAATAACCAACCAACTAAGCTGCTAAAATTTTCTTATACCACATAAAATGAGACGGAGAGTATTAAGAAGCTTCAATAATCAGACTAATATTAGAAGTAGTAGTCGACCAGCCCTACGAAAATGATTGATGAAATCCCAACTTGCAGAGAGCAAAAAGTCACATTGCGGATAAAACAATCCCTAATAAAGGTGATTTCTTATTCAAGATATTTAATTAAGGATGAAAGAGTACTTACCCGTGGCGTCCACCACAATCCCGATTGTTTAACACATTTAACTCGTGAATACGAAGATGCTCGGCCCCATTTTAGTACGTACCGGTTAGTCAATCAATTGGCCAAATTGTTAATGTCGGAAACGACTTATTAGTTAGTAAAAGAAAAAGGAAATATGCATCGAAGCAAAGTCGTCCAAAGGAAACAACGTCGCCAAGTTATATCATCTAGTTGAATTAAAATGAGATAAGTGTCAAAAACACACCAAAACTATTTTATTTTTTTGAGTTTCATACCTAATGGGCTAAAAAATGGATTGGGTCTTGACCCGATTAATCTCAATATAATTTTAACGTAGTGATATTTAACTTTTATAATCACAACTCGAATTTCAGCTCAATTTTTTTTTATAAAAAAAGTAACAAATGGATAGATAAATCCTAAAAGGTGTTAAATAGATAATAATTCATACCTTTAATAGAGGAACATATCTTAATAAAGAGTTTTAAAACGAGTTGAAATTGGAGATTCAATTGAGCTCAATTGAGAATTATCTTAAAATGGGTTAGGCTTGAATGTGTTGAGATTGAATCTAATTTAAATTATCTTAAGCCCAACTCTTAAAATTTTGAGCGGGTTGGAAGGGCTATCTATGTTTGGGTTCATTTTTGACACCCCTTAATTATACCTTGTGAATACGAAGATGCTCGACGCCATTTTAGTCAAAGTCAAAAACATGAAGATGCTCGGCGCCATTAGTACGTAGCCCATGGATAACAGCTAGTCAGTCAATATGATAAAGATGTTTAAATATACTTTTGCATAACAATTTGGCCAAATTGTTAATGTCGGAGACGACTTAGTAAAAGAAAAAAAATTATGGAAGCAAAGTCGTCTAAAGGAAGCAACGTGGCCAAGTTATTGCATCGTATAGTTGAATTAAAATATCTATAAATGTATATCACTTGCAGCTAACTCTCCAATATATATCCATTATATTGCACAATAAAATTACAAGTAAAAAAAAATGGGAAGACAAAACCGGGGTACAAATGCGGGACCTCAAGATAAACAACACTTCAGCCATTCCCACATCTTGAAACTAATTGTGAATCCAACTGAAACAGTACTCACTTGCAATGCTTGTGAGCAACCAAACAATACTAGCAAGCCTTTCTATGGCTGCAACACCTGCCAATATTTCCTCCATGAAAACTGCTTCAATGCTCCGCGTTTTCTCAATCACGCGTCTCATCCTTCCCATCCCTTGACCCTTCTCCCAAGTGCGACTTATTCAAGTTGTTCCTTTACTTGCAAGGCTTGTGACTCTGCTGGCAATGGATTTTGCTTTAGCTGTGCTTGTTGTGAATTTGATATCCACTTGCAATGTGCATCTCTTTCGAGTTTGATACTTGTTGATAAACACCCGCATCAATTGGAGCTCAACTTCGGTTCTCCTTACGAAGACAAGGATAGTGAATATGTTTGCGATATCTGCACTGAAATAATGAACAAGGAGAATTGGTTGTACTATTGCGGTGGCTGTGATTTCGCATCACACTTGCAGTGTGTGATTACTAGTCCTGAAGTTGGTGTTTTCGCCAAACAGCAGCGTCCAGTTCCAAATTCAAATTCAAATTCAAATTCAAATCCAAATCCAAACCCAAACCCAAATAGAAATCCAAATGCAAGAGTGGAGATGATAAATTCAGCAAATGAAGCTGAAGAACAGATAATGGCAGCTCAACTTCGTGCTCAGATTGCGGCACGAGGAAGAGAGGCTTGTCTGGACTTGGTGACACCACGAAGACGATATGGTTACTATTAACTCTATCATCGTGATAAGAAAATTATTTAAGCTCAAATTATGTTGTCTTTTAATTGCAAAATAAATGTTTTGGTGTGTTATTTCTCTTTCTGATCACTCTCTTCAATATCAAATGCTAGTACTATTAATTACTGTTTCCAATTTTATCAAGTGAGTGCAATAAGTTGTCAATTTCACTCTAAGAAAACAAAAACGAATTACTAAGAATTATACTAAATTGTTTCTGATAATTCTAATAAAATATTATGCAGATAAACATAAGGGAATTCTAGATTTAAACTCTCACTAACCATCAAGTAATATTTACACATATTTGACAAACTTTTCAATACATATACAAAGTTTGAGCCAAAACTAGTGAGTTTGCCGAAACCATATTTTTTACCATGCATCTGTCCTTGTTGACAAACAAAATACATTATATTACAAAGTAAAAGGCGCAAAAATAAAATAGGTGCATTTGAACTTGGGCGGAGAATAATAAGATTAAATTTCCAATTTGACTATGCTTTATGCCTTAGTTTTTCCCTAGTAAACCACTCTCATCGTAACACGATTTGTGCGCAACAACTGACAGTAGAACATACATGCACTATCCCTATAACACAAAGGTTAAAAGTGCATTGCTCTGTATCATTTGTTCTAAAAATTCATTGAATGTTAGTATTATAAAAGGGGCAGAGTTAGAGTACTGTCGGTTATAATTTTGGTCGAAGCAATAGCTTTAATTCAAACTACGTATTATTTGTCCTAAAAATTTATTGAAGGTATACAAATTATTGATTTAGAACCTAAAAATTTAACAAGATTAGAATCCAAAAACAACAATCATAAAAATCTAGCTCTGCAAAATCATGACACCAAAAAGGCTAAAAGAATTAAGAAGTGAGAATCAACTTGAGAAGCTCGATAAAAGCCTGAGAATCAAGGGCAACCCGGTGCAAAAGCATTCTGTATTCACCCAGGGTCCGGAAAAGTATCTTACTCCAACGTTCAGAAGATTACCAATACAGATTATTAATTATGTATTAATCAATAGTCAGCACTCGGATAATGAGTGATAAAATGCCAACTTGCTAGAGCAAAAAGTCTGACAGTGGACTTTTACCATAACATCCATGAACCTCAATACAGTTGACTTTCCAAAGTTAACAATTTGCCGAAATCTGTGGATCTTATTTTACAATTTATATCACTGAGACGACAACCTATAAATCTAGATAGAGCTTCTACTCTCTCTTTTTTTCATTCGGTGTTCGATATTCATATTGTGCCTCACGACTAATTTTGGATTCCCATACGAACGTCCCCACTTTGGGGGTAAAACATTCTCTAACATTAAAGGTGAATCTATATATACTCAAGGCTCAAACGTGACACCTGAATAAGAAAATTCTTATCACTCCAAATAGAGCTTAAGAGAGAGATAAGAAAATGAACAGGGAAGTTTTAGTGTATGTCAAATTATACGAAGATGCTCGCCATTATTTTAGTAGCCAATGATAATAGCGCTAAGTCAGTCAATATGCTTACAGATATTTAAACACACTTTTGAATAACAATTGGCCAAGTTGTTTGTTCTCCAGACTTAATAAAGTTTTTTTAAAAAAGTTGTTGTTCTCCATGTTATTAACTTGTTAGTATAGTTGAATTAGTATCTATAAATGCACAACAAAACTGCAAGGAAAAATAAAACACAATGGGAAGACTGAATGGGGGTACAAATGCGGGTAAACAACACTTCAGCCATGACCACATCTTGAAACTAATTGCCAATCCAACTGAAACTCTCACTTGCAATGCTTGTGAGCAACCAAACAATACTAACAAGCCTTTCTACGGCTGCAACACCTGCCAATATTTCCTCCATGAAAACTGCTTTAATGCTCCGCTTTTTCTCAATCACTCGTCTCATCCTTCCCACCCCTTGACCCTTCACCATCCGCCTTACGCGGGTGGTTACTATATTTGCAATGCTTGTGGGTCTGATGGAAATGGATTTTGCTATAACTGTGCTGCTTGTGATTTTGATATTCACTTGCAATGTGCATCCTGTCCTAGCTCCATACTTGTTGATAAGCACACGCATCAATTGGAGCTCCACTTCGGTTCTCCTGACGAAGACAAGGATAGCAAATATGTTTGCGATATCTGCTTTGTAACGATGAACAATGACAATTGGTTGTACTATTGCGCTGGCTGTGATTTCGCGTCACACTTGCACTGTGCTATAACTAGTCCTGAAGTCGGTGTTTTCCCCAAACAGCACCATCCAAATCCAAATCCAAATCCAAATTCAATTCGGAATTCCAA